CACCTGTTAATACAGTGTAAATGGATACTACAGCCCCTCCCTAGCCTCTCCTCCCCTATTCAGCACTTCCCAAAACCACCTGCTCTGCCCGTCCCTCAGCTCCACTGTCTGTCTCCCCATCTGCCTGTTCCTACCCAGCCATGCCTGGTAATGACTTCCATTGCTTCAACGGACGGCTGTAAGCACATGTATTGTTGCGTGCTCCTAACAAACTTCCAAAAAAAGTGTCTATTTTTAATTACTCAAAGGTAATCAAAGAAATAAACACTCGAGTTGTAAACAGTATGGTCTTTCAAAAATATTTGATTGATTTTTGTGGATTTCTTCACCGTAATCGAAATATTGTGAGAAACTGAAAGAGTAGGCTCATAAATTTATGAAAGAAAGGGAGGTGGGAATAATTTTTACAAAATCTTGTGGACTAAATTTTTCTTATTTTCAAAGTAACAATTCAAAATTTCTTTAAAGTTGAAGTAAAGCAAAATTTGTATTAAAAAATAATGAAACAAACAAATACACATTCTCCTGTATATAATAGAAAGTATTAATCTGACAAAAAGGTGCCTAAATTATGTCCGACACAATTCTCTCTCTTTAAGTGAGGACCCCCCATCAAAATCAACAGGCACACAAAAATTGTAAAAACAATTGAATGTTTTTTTATCATGTTAAAAAGCACAGTAGATAATAAAAAGGCTATTATTTTGAAATCACTGACTTCCCAATCTCATTTTAATATATTAAAAAACATTTATAGCATGGACCAATATCACTCTGTGGATAACAAATAAAACGGTGTAAGAAAAAATGAATTAATAAATAGAAAGCCAGAAAAACAGTACAGGAGGAAAGAAAAAAAACTAAATTGTTAATGTGGCTTTATTCGTAGGATTAGAGACAAAAAAGGGGAAAAAAAAAACAGAATTTATTAATTCAATGTTTTGAAGATGTTGAATGTCAAGGATAGGAAGAAATTTTAGAAGGAGCGATATTGAATTAAGGGTTGAATAACCTAACAATCCCCAAGGGATGGTTGATGAATAAAGGAAAGAAACAAAAATCTAGGCTTTTGGGCATGCCACCCCCTCTGGATCTGCCAATGAGTATTAATACTTTCCTGGTAGAAAATATTTTGGCAAACAATACAATTTTACTAATTTGCCTTACAAGTGGAATATTAATAGATTCTATTAACATTTATTATATTTTTATTTCTACGTGTGCTCTTACAATCTATTGTTATTTTTAATAAAATAATTGCAAATATAATAGGTGTTTACTGTGTATTTATGCATTCTTTTCTAATTGTTGTTTTAATTACTAGATGAATTACAATTGTTATGAGCTCTAATGTTAAAAATGCAATTGTGTACAATATTTTATATAATTTTTATTAATTTTATACATACTTCCTATTCTAATAAAAAGTATTTATTTTTGCAATATTCAATAACTGTTCAAATTTTGGCGTATGTTTTTAAGTTTACAAAATCTAAAATTATCATATCGCAGCATGAGCGGAGTATAGCTTGCGACATTTTACAAAATCTGTAATATTACATATTTGAGGAAAATAATTTTGAATTTTCCCTCCCAAAATTCGTCTCAGGATCTGTCTCTACTATACATACGACCTTTCTCTTCTAGAAATTTATGGGGGTCAGCAAAAGTAATGATATTCACAATTTGAATATAATTAGTTGGTGAGTTGCAGAGAAGGGTTTCCATATGAGATTGGAAAAAGTAGAGAAAGTGTTAAAATTCACTCGGCTTTGTTCTGCTCAGTTTAAAGAAGAGCCTCTTAGACGACTGTACTGTGAGGGGTCTCAAGAAATTTGTTGACTTGAAAGCGCCCTTTTCCTTCCTTTTCCCCGTCCCCGCCCGCGCGCTGTGAGGCGGCCTCTGCCATGCGCCGCAACAACAGTGTGATTGCCAGATTCGAGCCCATCGCGTCCCGAGGGCCCGTCGCCGTCCTCAGCCGCCGCC